CCGGGCCACCAGCCAGAGAAATGAAGTGAGTAGGGACGCCTCATTTATTAATCAGAACGGGCAACCGCTCCCCCCATTGCATCCCTGCATTTTCATGGCCCAGTTTGTGTTTCTTGTCCTAGGAGACCCGTTCTAAGTGGCTTGCACGAGGCTCTGGTCTCCCGCACACGCCCGACCGCCTCAGCGCGACCCGCTCGCTTCCGGTCACCTGCAGACACGGCACGAGGGGGAACCAGGTCACACACGTCTTTACACCCTCACAGAGCAGGCCCTTCTAGCAGAACACGCTACGGCTCATCCTGTCCCCGGCGCCTCTGGTGGCGACAGCCTTCCCGGGCCCCCGTGCCGAGGTGAGCTCCACGGGTGTCCCGAGGATGCGGCGCCCCGCTGGGCAAAGGCCACCGGCAGCGCCCGGGCCGCACGTAGAGTCTGGGTGCGGCGCCCGTCCCGGCACCGGGTGGGCGGCTTCTGGAGGGAGGACGTGCTCTTCTTTGAAGGGGAACCGGGAGAGCAGCCGTCGTCTAACCAGGCCCACCCCGGGCCCTGCGGAGGCCGGGGGCGCCCCTCCGGGCCCACCCCCTCCCCCCGGGGGCGCCCAGGGCTCCGGCTGGGCAGGTCAGAACGGCAGGCTCTCTCCCTCCTCCGGCCTCCCGGACCTGGTCCTCACCTGAGCCCGGCCGCGGCCGCATCACTGGGCTGGCGAGGCCTCCTCCAGGCCCAGCAGCTCCCGCACCAGTCTCTCGCCAAACTGCGCCCGGCTGTACCTCGTCACGTGGTAGGCGTCGGACATCTTGTAGAGGATGTAGGCGTTGTTGATGGCAATGCTGATGGCGAACCAGAACACCTGCTGCCACGTCTTGTTCGGTTTATGAGAAATGAAATACCTACAAGGACAGAGGGATAAGAGAGGCTGACCCCAGGGGTTCACGGGCGCCCGCGTCAGGGGGGGATGGTCCCAAAGGGCCTCATCATGGCCAGTGCTGCTACCGAGGAGCTGCGGGGGTGGGCGGCAGGCTGGGGGCCGGCTCCCGCTGAGGCCCTGTCACACTGAACTTGACCTGGGACTAAGATGAAAACCATTCCTATCAGAGGACTGGGTGGGAGTGGAGTCGCTGGAGGAGATGCTGGAATGGGGAGCCAGGCCTTCCCTGGCGAGGCTCAGAAGCTCCAACCCGAGCTTTGCCCAGCGCCCTCCCCGGACGCCGTGTCCCAGGCACACTGAACTGCCTCCACGTCCCAAGGGCAAGTTCACCCTCAGCTGCAGGCGTCTGCAATGTGTCCCCTCCTCCCGAGTGCACGTCTCTTTGCCACCCCCGCCTTCCCTTCAGGTCCAGGACGGATGTCACCTCAGGGAGGCCCCTCCAGGGCCAGCCCAACTTAGGACTCATCCCTGCACTGTATCCTCCATCACATCTTTGTCTCTGCACCGGACTGAGGAGTGTTTGAGGGTCAGTATCCTCACCACCAGCAGCCCAGAGCGGTCCTGAACGTGTCTATTAAATCAATGCGGATTTCTTTGTAGTAACCGCATGGAATCAGCAGGTGCTGAGCACACACCTGGTGTGCAATAAACATTTGCTCAAGGACTCCCAATGGAGTGGGGCTCCCCTCCAAACCTAGGCTCAGTTTTCCAGGGAGAACTGGGTCCTCGGTTTTCTCTCTTTGCCATGAAGTCCAGCACATTCCCCTCCAAGCGGGCTGAGTAAACGCCCACCTGTCTTTGGGGTTACTCCAACTTTGTTCTAGGTTGTGAGGCTCGACCCTGGCAATTAATAGTCACACTCAGGTTCACCAGCAATCGCTTCTTGAGTTCCTGTTACAGCGCTGGGGGTGTGCACCTGCTCCGGGCATCCAGAGTGGAAAGAATTATGTAACCTGCGCTGGAAACCAGGGCTCAGTGTGATGGGCCGCAGCTGTGAGGGACGGGCGGAGGACAGTCCAGCCGGGGGACGGAGGGTGCAGGCTAGACCCGAGTGAGTGGAAGGAAGGGCACCTCAGGGCAAGGGTGGCGGGGGAGGAGGCAGGGCGCCCGGACGGGAGGGGGCTGCACGGGCGAGCCCAGAAGGCCAGGACGGGGGCTCAGGATTTTGTCTCCCAGGGGCTTGTTCCGTTCATTCTGAAGCTGGGGGGCTCCTGAGCACCCAGCAACCTCTATTCCGCGCCCGCGAGACCGCAGGAGCCTTCCCGTGGCTATGAGCCGCCTGTTCACTCACTTGCTGTACTTGTCATCGTACTTGCAGATGTAGCTAAGGTGGGCAGCAAACGCCTCCACGGCCAAGGGGCAGGGGATCTCCCCACTCTTCCTCTTGATGATCACTCCTGCGGAGGAGAGAGAAGCTCACACCCCCTCCCGAACCGTCTCCTGCACACGCCCGCTGACGAAGGTCCTAGCTCCACCCTGCCTGGCCGTGCTGCCATGCAACTGGGACCCGAGGGGGAAGGGGGGAGGGCGAGGGGGAGAAGATGGACACCAGTCCCTAAAAGCTTCCGAGGACTTGAGAACATAAAGTTAGGTGAGTGCGTAGGGGTGCTGCGGGCACGCGGGGTGATGGCGGGCCCAAAGGTGGCTTTAAGTGACACCGGGGAGGGCGCCGCACCTGGCAGGGCCTTCAGAGAGCAAAGGGGAGATGCAGGACTCACTCTCCCCACCTCCTCCCTCCGCACACGAAGGCTGCCGAGGTCAGGGAGCGCTCGAGTCCTTTCTGCCTCCTCTGCCTGCCTCCATCACTGCAGAAGGGCGGAGTTACAGATCCAGAAGAACGAGGAGCCCCCCACCCAACAAGCCCCAGGTTCCCCCTTCCATGCATCCCAGAACTTCTGGGGGGCCCTGTGGACTAAGGGAGGGAAAATGCCTTTTGCATCCTGCCGCTCCTGGAAACTCTGTCCCCCACCCCAACCCCAGGCCTTCAAATGCCTTTGCTCTACTAAATGCAAATGGGAAGGTGTCCAGGGGTACTGCCCACTGATCGGGGTGCGAGGAGCAGAAAGAGATCAGTTAGCCCTCCTCACCCTGCTGCCCAAACCGCTGCGGGACCACCGCGTTTCCAAGACCCGCCCCACAGGCCCACAGCTGCCCTCCAGACATGACGCGGAAGACGTGGAAGAACGCTTTTGTCCGAGGAGCCGTGTGCGCTCAGGTTTGGCTGGGATTTGCTACCATCTCCTTTGACCAGCCTCCCCCCCACAGCATCATGTGATTATGAGAACAACACTGTTTTTCGGAGTATGTTTTTCAAAAGGGATCAGTCTAAAGGAGTGCGAAGTTTTCGTGCTACTTGAATGGATATGGTGAAGTACAAGAGGGGTATCCCCTGCAGGCATAAGGGGCTTCACCTAGCGTGTCTCCTGCCCGCTCACCAAGGGACCTGCAGGAGACAGGAGTGTAGGGATCCATTTGCACAGACTGAGCCCTGAGCTGGGATCTTTGTTTCTTTTGGTCCCTGTCCCCCAGCCATGCCCCCAGATACTGGTTTTTCACACCGAGAAGTCCCCGGAGAACTTGAGGTTGGCAGGGCCCCACCCCTAGAGATGTGGTCTCGGGAGGCCTGCAGTGGGGCCCAGGCAATGCATTTCCTAAAGCTCTTGGAGGGTCAGAAGGCCTTGAGGCCCAGGCTGGGGGCTTCCTCCTCTCCAGAGGGTTCTGGGACTCTGCATGGAGATGCTCTATTGTCTGGTGATCCAGCCACGCAGGCGGGGTGGGCATGTTCTGCAGCCTCCAAGGAGGGCTGTCCCTCTCCAACGGTGCCCCTGAGCATGCCTGTTCCTGGTCCCTTACCTCGGCCACCCCACCCCAGCCCAAGACCGATCAGGAAAGCATCCTAGTCTCACACATGAGCCCAGGCCTGGGCAGGTTTCCCAGCTCCGTTTTCATTTGTCCGAAATTACAGCTTCCTCTGAGTCTAAAGAGGCTCGGGCCCCATAGGGCTCCATGGAGTGCACGTGGATATGGGCGCATCAGATCATCCCTATACAGGAACAGAGTCCCCTCCGTTCTTCCCCAGATGTGGAGGGTGACTCGCTCTGAGTCACCCAGCTTTCCAGGGAGTTGGGCTCACGCGCCAAGGGGCTCGGGGTCGACCTCGTCCCTGGAGCTCCCACAGCCTGCAGCTCCGGCCTCCTGGGTGACCGCCGGGGCCATAGTTCCTTGAATGCCACAGGGAACCTGCTCCAGCCCTTCATTCCCTCCTCATCCTCCTCATGGTTGTCAACTTACGAGGCTTTCTGCTGGAAATCTCAGCAGAGTGGCTTCAAACCCCAGGTCTGCGCTCATCTGCTTGAGCATTTCCCCCATTTTATAAATCACCCTCGTCCCTGGTGATATTTTGGATTTTGAGATACTATTCCAGCTAGAAATGTCCCGTAATATCCTTTTCTGAGGACCAACAAGCTTGGACATGGGACAGGTTGACAAGAGGCTGATATTTACTGGTGTTGCTGACGTCACCTGTACGCGGCCCAAAGGTGCCCTGGGCGAACCCTGCGCATTCGCAGCTGTGTGGGATCTCCGTGCACACACGAGATACCTCTGCAGCACCACGAGATCGAGCAGACCGGGTGGGAGAAACATGTGTGCTCACGCGCGGTGGCAGCCCCGTCCACCACCTCCCAAGGCTATTCGTGGCGTGGCTGACGTTAGTTCTGCCACTCCGTGAGGCTGAATGAGTCAAGCCCTGACTCAGTCCTACACCCGCGTTGTGTGTGTGCATTGGTCTCATGGAGCCTGAACCCCAGGTGGGCCAGGACTCTGGTAGGGAGAGGACAGATCCAAAACGGATTTCAGAAGGCAAGCAGAAGGGTTGGGTTCTCCATACGGATATCCCTGGAAATGTGACTTTTAAGAAGCCTGTGCACATGCTCACGCTCTCTGAAAGAAGGGACGTTTTTCCTTAGAATCCAGAAGAAATAATAAACCGATTCCTAAAATGTTCCTAACCAGTTATATATTTACTAAAATTGGAAATTCTACTCAACTTTTAGAAGAGCGTGTGTATATATATATATATGATCACAGCACGAGAGAGTCTAAAGCTGAAAGGCAGTCTTTACAATATTTGAGACTTCATCCTCTGGGTGATATTTTTAAAAAGTAGAAAGAGTTTTTCTATAAATGGTTCAGGCACGGAGGCAGGCCTGCTTGGTCAGCCAACCCTTGCCACTTAATTAAAAAAAAAAAAAAAAAAAGAGTAAAAACCCAACTGATGCCAGAGGATTACTGTAAAGAGCACAAAATCACACTATATGACAAGCAGGTGATCTTACACTCATTCAGCCTTGGCACAAAGCAGGGACTTCCAAAGCTCTTGTAAGAACAAAGAATGTGACCAACAGATCTGCCCGTGCAGAAGGAAAAACAATTTTAGGTTTAAAAATACTAATCATAAATAAAAGCAAAAGTAAAACAAATCCAGAAAAACACTTGCCTATTATACACATAAAATTTGCTTTCAACAAGACAAGCATCTCAAAGGACAAACTGAAGAGAACACGAAGAAATCACTGAAAATTGGCCAACAAATTCACAAAGAGATGCGCAACCTCTCCAGTAGTCATGCAATTTAGATTTAAAATTCTGTAGCATTTTCACCCCCCAGATTGACAAATTTAGGGGAAAAAACGTGTTGGTAAACGCAGGAGGAGTATGGGTCCTCTCATAGCCCGTCACAGTGTTAAGAACGGTCTTTCGACAACATGTCATCAAAAGCCTTCAAAATGTTCAGACCCTCTGGGCCAGCTACTCTACTCTCAGATTTATTTTGAGGAAATGATCAAAGATATTCCCAAATGTATGGAAATATTCACTACATTATTCATATAAAAAATGGATCATTAATGAGGGTGCAGAAAAATTACGACATTTTAAAAAATGAAAGTACATTGAAAGGAAAAATATCTCCCTTCATTAAAAAAAAAACCAGACAAAACCAAACACTCTAAGATGTGGACTAGTGAAAGGAATCCCCCATGGGGAGGAGAGAGGGGCCAGCCTGAGCTCTCCACACCGCCTCCCTGCCTCCGGGTGCTTCTGCTCCCAAGCAGGCCTGGTTCATGGGTGTCTGGGCCACCCACCCTAGGGGTGCTGCCAGAGGGGCTGAGGCATACTTTCTGGGAATTTTAAGGGAGTCTAAAATTTGGGAATTTGTGATTTTATTTATTTACTTATTTATTTGAGAGAGCATGAGAGAGAGAGAGAGCATGAGCCAGGGTAAGGGGCAGAGGGGAGGGGAGAAGGAGGCTCCTCACTGAGCAGGGAGCCCAATGTCAGGCTCGATTCCAGGACCCTGGGATCCTGACCTGAGCCCAAGGCAGATGCTTCACCGACTGAATCACCCAGGTGCCCAGGATTTTGTGATTTAGAGTACTTTAGAAATGGAAACTACAACTGAAAGAAACACAAACGCTAAATTTTGGCATATTTAAAGATCAAGCCTACCAATTTTTTTCTTCCCCATCAATATCCTCTTTGCTGGTTCCCTTGGTGACGGATTTAAGGCTCTCAAACCTTGAGATTGGGGTTTTAAGGTTTTGTCATCTTAAATCGTATTGCATAATTTATAATTTGTTATGCACAATTTGGTGGGAGGCAGCTCCTACAACCTCTTCCCAAACTTTCTCCCCGTGAATGCTCTTGCCCAATCAGGAGAGTACGGAAGTCCAATTCAAAGTCCCACCTTCGGCTTGCAAGGTCAATTCCAAACATTTCCTCTAAGGGCCCTTCACACAGCCCTGGAGGTTTCTATAGCTCTCTACACCTAAGTCCCATAGGCTTGCGTCCCTGGATTCTAATCTCCACTGAAACATAATGTGACTTAGGTGTGTGTGCAGGGGGTGAGGGATAGAATAAATGAACAGCAGACGTTAATTAAGCAGCCCCCCCACAAACGTACACATCACAGAGATACACCACACACACACCCACATACATGCCCCCACACTCCTCCCCCACAACTGAGCCCCCTACAGAGTTCCTTCAGAAGAGGAAAGATGTCTTAATATAAAGGAATACAGGGGATTTTCAAATACACTATGTAAATGCAAATATTTCTGTAAAGTGCCCCACTGTCATTTCCATTTCCCTTTTCAGCAGTTTACAAGTGTTTCAGCTGTAGCTACTTTAACTATAGAATCCTTGCTAAGTAAATCCCTTTGTTATGAATGGATTCTAAACCCCCAGGAAGATTAATGACAGAATCACCTGAACGCCCCAAAACACCAGTGGGTAACCTCGAAGAACGACGCCAAAGTGATAAAACAGTGGATATTTTCCCCTCCCATCAGAACAGATTCTTCAAAGACTCCTAGATGATCAAGTGATCGGGGAAATGCCGTTCGAACACGGCCACTCACCGTGGCCACGCACAAGCCGGGGGACCCACAAAGCCCGCCGCCGTGGCTTCTCTCCCAGCTGGCAAGCCACGCTGAGCTGGCGGCCCGCGGGCCCCGGTAGCTCCTGCCCACCTCCCATCCCTGTCGGATGTGGCGTGGTGAGTGCTGGGGAACGGGGGCTACCCAACACCAGAGCTGCAGAGTCCCCCCGGGGCCCCACCTTGCTGCACCGGCGAGTAGGCATTGGTCAGGAAGCGGAAGTGCCCTTTGTTGTACCAGCAGATCAGAGACATGTTCCCCTTCATCTTGATGCGGTGCTGGCCCCGGGCTGGGGGGGTGGCCGGGCTCGTCAGCATAGACAGGGGCAGGCCGGTGCAGTCACTCTTCCTGGAGCTGAGCAGGCCGCAGCAGTAAATGTCTGCGGGGAGAGGGACACAAATCCGTGTCCACACGGTCACGGACAGCCCGCGCACACCGGCGTGGAGGACGGGACTGCCCCGTTCTGAGGCTGACGCTTGGGAGACGGGCCCCCTAGAAGTCCCCGTAGAGGAGACTGCTACAGTTCGGGGACTTCTATCCCGAAGGTGCTATCTCTCCCAGGACTTCTGTAAGTACCTTTAAGATGACACACGAGACCATCACATGAGCAGTGAATTGGCAGTACCAACGGGAGTCTCGTTGTTACAGCGCTCACAGCGCTGAGCATGTGCACCCCTCATCCCATCTGCTTCTATAAACTTCTGGAAACTTCTGCACCCATGTTATCCTACCCACATTACAGAAGAAGAACTACAGCTCCAAGAGGCCCCCAGGCTTCCAGCTAGGAGGGCAAGGCAGGGATTAAGCACAGGTCTGTCTGCTGTCCAAGCCTGACCACAGTTATGACCCCCTAACACTCTGGCCAAGACTGGACAAGCCACAGGCCCCGCCCTGTGCTTGCGTGCACAGTACCCAGAGGCAGCGTGCAGGACGGAGCCCCCGTCCCCTTGGAGGTAAGTTAAATGCAGAGGAAAGAATCACCAAGCAATATGCGCCAGGACAGCGTCCTGCCTCTGAACGTAAAGCCTCTCGAGGGAGGGGCGACAGTGTGGCCTTTAATGCACAGAAGCTTCCATGGGGGCAGGCGGGATTGTGAGCACAGGCCAGTGTGAACAAGGAGACCTCGCTAAATTCCGCCCTGGGCTCGAGGCCTTTCCTGGCCCTCCCCACGCACAGGCCTGCCCCACTGAGCGGGCCACGGGGAGCCTGCTTCTCCCTGCAGCCAGCTCCAGTCTGGATGCCTGCAGGGGGCGTGAAGCGGCCCTTTTGACTGAAGTCACTGGGGACGGTCTCATCCTCAGGGTCTTCAGTGAAAGACTGAAGTCCGCCGAACACTGACACCCTATCGTCAGTAACCTGAAACGTTCTGTAACCGCGTGCATGCTTCCCTCATCCCTGCATCTGCACCCCAAGGCAGTTCCAGGTACCCCAGGGCTTCATGGCCACGCACCCACCCCGGGACTGGACTAGGCGGGCAGGGATGGCAGCCCAGGTTCTCACCACACCCTCATTCTTCCCATGTGGCTGGTAACACACATGAGGGCCAATTTTCTCCACCTTGACTTCCACGGCCCCTCTTCACATAGTCTGACCTCTCCACCCTGAGTTCTCCCCACAGGTAAACCCCTGTCCAGAGCTCTGTCGGGGACTGGACCTCGCAGAGGAGTAAGACCCAGCAGGGCCAGCAGAGCACCAAGTCCAGCGGCTGCTTCATCCTTGCCGTGGCGGAGGTCAAGGTCAGAAGGTGCTGGCTCCCTATGACTCGAGAGGATTTTAAGGCCAGATGTCTGATCCATTGCTCAGCAATAGGTCTGCAATTCCAGTGGCTGCCATAGCGGAGCAGAGGCTTTTAATGTTTCTCCCGAGTGGACTAGATATAAATCCCCCAAAAATGTGGGACAAAGCAAAGGATAAGCAGCCTGCTCTCGGGCTCCCTGACTCAGTCCAGAGCTTTTTCTCCAGCCCCATTTCTGCCAGAGCCGCAAAGGCTTCCCAATCTTTCAACCGATGAACAAAGCATCTCAGCACCAGGGATACTAAGAATTTTCTGAGGCCCACTGCCCTGGAGCCTGTATTAATCTACATAATTCTCTGTGATGTCCTTGTCAGCCTGAGCGCCCACATCATAGGTGGGGGCTGAGTCCAGACTTCCGGGCCTTCGCAGGAGCGGCATCTAGGCGCTACAGAGCAAATGTGTGCGTTCCCCCCAAATTCCTCTGCGGAAAGCCTCATGCCCCAGGGGAGGCTGTTAGGAGGCGGGGCCTCTGGGAGGGGCCTGGGTCGTGGGGGTGGAGCCCTCGTGAATGGGAGGAGTGCCCTCAAGAAAAGGGACCCCAGAGAGCTTCCTGTCGCTTCCATCACGTCATGGGAGGTCTGCAACCTGGAAGAGGCCCTTCTAGGGCTGGCGTCCTGATCTTGGACTTCTGGCCTCTAGAACTGTAAGGAATAAATACCTGCTGTTTATAAGCCGCCCAATCTGAGGTACTTTGTGAGAGCAGCCCGAATGGACAAAGACACCGGGAGAACCGCTGGAATGGCCCCGGTCTCACAGGGAAGGACACAAAGGTGCCCTGGGCAGAGTGTGAGCCCGAGGCAGGCGTGCCCTCAGATCTCTGGTGCCCGGCAGGGTCCAGGTACGTGGCAGGCACACCGCGGGCTGAAACCGCTGTGTTCCCTCCTGGCTGCAGTGGTCTGTGGGCCGTGCTGGTCGCTACGCACCTGCACCCCCCAGACCTCCCCACCACTTCTCCAGGGGGGCAGCGGCCACGCTGGGACTGGCTCACCACACAACAAACCTTGCTTTTCCAGCTCCTCAAACAAGGTCAGGCTGGTGATGCTGGGCCCCGTGAAGATGATGTAGTTCTTGCCTGCCGCATTCCGGCACAGACTTCGGGCCACCATGCTGTGCAGCTGGGGCTTATTCTTCAGTGCGTCCAGCCCATCGGGGCCCCCGCCTTCCTTCAGGTGGACGTAAATCTTGAACAGAAACACACAGGAGTCCGTGAGCTCACGGAGTGTCAGGCTGGGGCCCAAAGCTTCGGGAAGTACAGGCTGCCCTCGCTGGGCCAAAAATGGGTGGGAAAGCCACCTCTCCCTTGAGCCACTGGTTCGGCAGCCCCTACCACCCCATCACCTCCTCAGCCCGCAGAGGCCCCAGGTCACTCCCAAGGCCACCCTGCAGCCTAGGCAGCTGGTGGGTCCGGCCAGGACTTCAAGGTTTGGACATGTCAAGGTAGAGAAGAAAAGGGTCAGACTATTACAAGTAATGAATGAGGTCAGTGCAAACAGTTCGGAAGCATGGAAGGGACTTCAGTTT